TTTGTGGATAAGTATTGTTTAAGTTTGGTTTTATCATAAAATATCTTGTTTTCTCCATCTATGGTTATTGAAAGTTTTGCTGGGTAAAGTAGTCTGGGCTGGCATCCGTGGTCTCTTAGTGTCTGCATAACATCTGACCAGGACCTTCTGGCTTTCATTGTTTCCATTGAGAAGTCAGGTGTAATTCTGATAGGTCAGCCTTTATATGTTACCTGGCCTTTCTCCTTTGCAGCTTTTAATATTCTTTCTTTATTCTGTATGTTTATTGTTTTGATTATTATGTGGAGAGGGGACTTTTTTTTTTTTTTGGCCCAGTCTGTTTGGTGTTCTGTAAGCCTCTTGTATTTTCATGGTGTAGCCAGCTTTTCTTAATGCAAATTATCCCATCTACCTCTTCCTCTGGGCTTTTCCTGTTCTCTTTCTTCTGTGAATCTTGCTCTTACTCTGTGGATTACTGTGTAGCTGGACGAATGGGTGGCTGGGTGGCTGGCCCCTGACACTCTCCTCTCCTGGTTCTCTTATTCCTCTTTCTTCCTCGTTTCTCCTTCTGTTTATACTCTGTCAACCCCAACTATCCTTGCTCCTGCCTCACTATTGGCTGTTCAGCTCTTTATTAGGACCACCAGGTGTTTTAGACAGGTACAGTAACACAGATTCACAGAATTAAACAAATGCAGCACAAACAAAAGTCACACACCTTAAAATAATATTCCCCAACATTCTACCACTGCTCTAGATTATCAGGCCTACAGTGTGTGTGTGTGTGTGTGTGTGTGTGTGTGTGTGAGAGAGAGAGAGAGAGAGAGAGAGAGAGAGAGAGAGAGAGAGAAATGTGGATTTGTCTGTATGCATATATGTTCATACCTGAGCATGTAGAGATCAGAAATCAACTTTGGGAGTCACCCCTCAGGCACCATCCATCTCAGTTTTGGCCTCTAATTGACCTGGATCTCTCTAAGTAGGTTAGTCTGGCTGGCTAGTGAGAGCTAGTGAGACCATGGTATGCTGTCTCAGTCTCCCCAGCATTAGGATGACAAGCATGAACTATTATACACACTTTTTTGTTTTTTTTAAGTAATTTTAAAGATTTTTAAAAAAACTATGTGTTTGATTGCATGAGTGTATGTATACTAAGTTCATTCAGGAGCCCACAGAGACCAGAAGAGGACATCAGGTCCCCTGGAACTGGAGTTACAGTTGTTTGTGAGCTGCCATGTGGGTGTGGGAACTGAACTGAGGTCCTCTGCAATAGCTGTAGCTGTTCTTAACCTCTGAGCCATCTCCCATATACATCTATGTCTATGGATGGAAAGACAGACAGACAGACAGACAGACAGAGGGTTTTCTGTTGGCTTAGCAGGGGCCTTTAGGTCCTACAGCCTCAATATATAGGTTTACACTAAGTCTTTATCATTCTGTTTACCAACAAAGACTTGGAAGTCAGATGTGGATGTGAAAATGGCTAGATCAGAGAAGCCAAGGAGAATCCAGTTGACCTTACTTTTTGGCTGGAGATCCAGCAAGAAACATGTCTCTTCACTCATCCCAAACCCAAAAAGAAGCATCAAACTCAAGTCCTTCCCCTTTCCTTCCTGTGCGGCTTCTCTATACAAATTTCTGGCTTCTCTATGGCCAATTCTGGTTGGCTTGTCATTAGCTCCACCCCCTGATTCAAGGTAAACTTTGAATATGGGGAGTGTCAAGTGTGATCAAAATTCCCACAACAGATACCGGGTAGCCCTGACTAACCTCAGACTCACTATAAAATTGAGTCTGGCTTTGAATTCTTGACCCTCCTACTTCCACCTACTGGGATGAGAGGTATTTGCCACCCACTTGGCAATTTTTTCAGTTATATCCCTCATCCATCTATCTATACACAGGACTCACTATGCAGCCCTGGCTGGCATGGACTTGCTGCCAGACTGGCTTCAAATGCACAGATCCTCCTGCCTCTGCCTCCCAAGTGCTGGGATTAAAGGCATGCACACCAATGTGTCTGACTTACAGAATTTTTATTAAAGGAACTCGAGGGATAACTCTACTGTTAAGAGATTATATTGTGCTTCCAGAACATTTGGCTCCAGCTTCCACCACCCATGTTGGGCAGCTGAACTGCCCATAACTACAGCTCCAGGGGTCAGTCTGACGTCTCTGGATTCCATGGGGACCCACACATAGACACACAGACACACACAGATAGACATGACTAAAATTTAAACTTTTTTATTAAAAAATTTCTGGCCAGCTGGGCAGTGGTGATGCACGCCTTTAATCCCAGCACTTGGGAGGCAGAGGCAGGCTGATCTCTATGAGGTGAGACTGGTCTAGAGGTCGAGTTCCAGGACAGGCTCCAAAGCTACAGAGAGAAACCCTGTCTTGAAAAAAACTCCAACCCCCCCCCAAAAAAAGCCAGGTGGTGGTAGTGGTGACAGTGGTGCACACCTTTAATTTCTGGGAGCCAGAGGCAGGAGATCTCTAAATTCGTGGCCAGTCTGGTCTATGGAGCTAAGGACAGCCAGGACTACCCAAAGAAACCAACCAGCAAACAAAAAATTCTGGGCCTGGAGAAATGGTTCATCAATTAAGAGCACTGGCTGCACTTCTGGAGGACCCTGATTTGGTTCCAGCACCCACGTGGCAGCTCACAACTGTCTGTTACCCCGGTCTCAGGGGACCCTATGCCCTCTTCTGTCTTCTGCTGGCATTGTTCACACCTAGTACACAGACGATACATGTAGACAAGCTACCCATATTCATAAAATAAGAATGCATAAATCTTAAAACACTTTGACCTGAATTCAATTCCCAGGGCACATGATGGGAAGAAAGGGAAAAGTCCTGTGTGTTGACCTCTGACCTCTACACATGCACCTCAGAGTAACACATGCCCACACATACACATAATAAACAATCAGTAAATAGTGTAACTAAAATATGTAATTCCTTTAAGTGAAACCTCCATTTATTCTATTTATTTGTATTTATTTATATTTTACTTAAGAATTTTTTTATGTGGGGCTGGAGAAATGGCTCAGTGGTTAAGAACACTTGCTTTGAGCTGGGAAGTTGTGGTGAAAACCTTTAATCCCAGCACTTGGGAGGCAGAAGCAGGCAGATCTCTGTGATTTTGAGGCCAGCCTGGTCTACAAAGCTACACAGAGAAACCCTGTCTCGAAGAACCAGAGAGAGAGAGAGAGAGAGCACATTAACTGCTCTTCCAGAGGTCCTGAGTTCAACTCCCAGCAACCACATGGTGGCTCACAACCATCTATAGTGAAATCTGGTGCTCTCTGCTGGCATAAAGTCATACATGCAGACAGAACACTGTACAAAATAAATCTTTTTTTTTAAAAGATTTTATTTATTTATTATGTCTGCACACCAGAAGAGGGCACTAGATCTCATTACGGATGGCTGTGAGCCACCATTGGTTGCTGGGAACTGAACTCAGGACCTCTGGAAGAGCAGTCGGTGCTCTTAACCTCTGAGCCATCTCTCCAGCCCAATAAGTCTTTTTTTTTTTTTAAAGATATTTTATGTGTGTGAGTATATTGTTAGCATGTATGTGTGCATAACATATTGCGCCTGGTACCTCAGGTGGCATTGTACCCCTGAAAAATGGAGTTATAGGGGCTGGAGATATGGCTCAGGCGTTAAGAACACTGACTGTTCTTCCAGAGGTTCTGAGTTCAATTCCCAGCAACCACATGGTGGCTCACAACAATCTGTAAGGAGATCTGGTGTCCTCCTCTGGCACGCACTGCATACATGATAAATAAATAAATCTTTAAAAAAAAAAGAAAAAAGAAAAATGGAGTTATAGACTGTTGTGACCCCCCATGTGGATATTGGGAATTGAACCCAGGTCTTCTGGAAGAGCAGGGAATGCCCTTAACCACTGGGTCATTTCTCCAGCCTTGTGTGTGCGTGCGGAAGTGTGTGTGTTTGTGTGTGAATTTTTTATGGGGTGGTGCACACAACCCCATGTGTATGTATGTGCAGGTGCATGTAGAGGCCAAGTTTTTGTTTTTGTTTTTTGTTTTTGTTTTTTCAAGACAGGGGTTTCTCTGTATTGCTTTGGAGTCTGTCCTAGAACTTGCTCTGTAGACCAGGTTGGCTTCAAACTCAGAGATCCACCTGCCTCTGCCTCCCCAGTGCTGGGGTTAAAGGTGTCTGCAACCATGTGCAGTAAACACATGATTTTTAAATGAAAATAAGAAAAGAAAAAAAAAGCTCCTGTGAACCTTCCTTCCATAGGAGTATAGCAGGAAATAAATGCAGGATAGACAAAAACTCATCTCACTAATTTCTTGAATAGTAATTCTTGCAGTGATTCACAATGAGGGAGACACACAAGACAAAAATAAACAAAGATGGGCTACAGAGAAAGCTCATTGGCTAAGAGTGTGTGGTATGTTTCCCGAGTGAGTCTCCAGCACCCATGTATAAAGTCTCATGACCACACGTAATTCCAGCTCCAAGGGGTCCAATGGCCTTTTCTGGCAGCCTGGCCTTCGAGGGTGCCTGCATACCTCGATTTTCTGTTGCTGTTGGAGGCCTGTGTTTAAGCAGTGAACATATTTAGCACTAAAACGGTTTCGTTTCTGTTGAATGCCTATCTCATACTACAGAATATTGAAGATTTCAGATGTATGTCTATAAACATGATGTTGGTAAAAGTCAAATATAGGAGCCATGTCTATGGTTCAAAAGTGACAGCATGTTGGTTTACACAGCATTTTGGTTTAACATGTGAGTGTACATTTTCTTTTTTGTTTTTTTTGAGACAGGGTTTCTCTGTGTAGCTTTGGAGTCTATCCTGGCACTCGCTCTGGAGACCAGGCTGGCCTCAAACTCAGAGATCTGCCTGCCTCTGCCTCCAGAGTACTGGGATTAAAGGTGTGTGCCACCAACACCTGGCCAGTCTCTCATGTTGTGGTGACCCCAACCACAGTGTTATTTTGTTGCTACTTCATAACTGTAAATTTTGCCACTGTTAAGCATCATAATGTAAATATCTGATGTGCAGGGTTTCTGATCTGTGACCCCCAAAGGGTTCTCAACCCATAGTTTGAGAATAGCTAGTTACCCTAGATGTTCAAGCCTCTCCTATAGGCGGCATAGTAAAGTCCAGAGTGGAAATGCTTGCCTTCAATCCTAGCACTCAGGAGGCAGAAACACATGATCTCTGTGAGTTCGAGGCCAGCCTGGTGTACATAATGAGTTCTAGGACAGCCAGGACTACATAAAGAAACCCTTTCTCAAAAAAAAAATTAAATTGAAATAAAATGTCGCAGCATTTTCAGAGAACCTACCGGGAGTCACCACTTGATGACATTAGGCCTTTTAGGTGTGAACACCTGTATTGTCTAGATAGCCGTAGCCTGATGACATAGTCCTTAGATTGGGATTGATTCCATCCTTGCATTCACTATCTGTGGATACAGAACACCAGTTGCATAGCATCGAGGTATTGTGGGACTCTGTCTGAGAAGTTTGGAAACAGCTGCGAAACTCTGGCTAGAGTGAGAAAGCGGAGGATGCTTAGGCGAGGGTGAGAACACGGGTTCCCCGTGCAGGATTCGGTAGGGCTTGGGAAGGGAAGGTCTTTAGACTGCTCTAGGAGGGAGATGAGTATCTTGGAGCGTTGTGAGCAGAGGGCCTTGACCCGACTGAAGTACCCTGAGATGCTGCCTGGTGGCCTCGAACGAGCAAGAAAGTGGGAGGTTGAGGTGAGTGCGCTCATCACACTGGAGAAGTGTGGTGGGAGTGAGAAGTGTGTGTGTGTGCAGGGGAGGGGGGTTCTGGAGAGACCCCGCTGCAAACCAGACTCGCTGTGGAACGAGATTAAGTGGGAGATGGCAGAGAAAGGGTCGAAGCTGCTTCGATAGTTGGAGCTTCAGTCTCTGGCAGAATGGAACTGGCCTTGGCTGGAGGATAGCAGAAAGGATGGATGGGTGGGGATAAGCCGCCTGGAGGATGGAGTCCGGGCGCGGCAGCCACGCAGTCCCGGGATCGGCCGCCAGATGGCGAGCGCGCCGCGGGAAAGACCAAGGCCGCAGCTTCTCACGCTCCAGCGGCCTGGCCTTGCCCTTCCTCACCTGGGTGTGAGATGGACTCCTCTGAGGTGCTAGAGCTGGACCTCCCAGGTGTCTCGAGGGTCCCAAAGCCTGGAGCGCAGTCTCATATCTTTTGTGTACTTCCCACCATTCTGTTCCCAGGATCTCAGGTCTCTGCAACAAAGTGTCACCTTCTCTGGGGGTCTTCCCTGACTGCCCTGGGATCAGAAACCCATACCCTGACTCCTCTAAAGCTCATTCCATTCATTTTATTTTCTCTTTGAAACATCATCACTCTTTAGCCCAGGCTGTCCTTAAACTTCTCATCTCCCTGCCTCAGCCTCTTACTGTGCTGGAATGACTGCCTTGGGAGTTGTGGCCAGTATCTGTAATCTCTGCACCCAGGAGAATGAGGTCGAGCAAGCACAAGCACAAGATATGGCCAGTCTGGGCAGAAGGAAATCATGTCTCTACCCTCCCACCCAGTAACACAACAGTAGTGGTCATATGAATTCATTACTGCTTGGGCACAGGTGTGTTACAGGGCTACCTGATTGTCATTCATAGGCTTCCCTTCTCAGAGCAGGAAGGAAAAAGCAGCATGGGTTCATGAGACTAACGTGTATCAACACTTGTTTTCAGGTCCTTGTGAGTCCTCAGTACAACCTCTGAGGTAGAGACTGTTAGAGGCATCGTACTGCTGAAGAGGAAGCTGAAGCCCAAAGTGGTTATCTTGCATCAGGGTGCACAGCCAAGAAACTGCAGGACAGCGCATGAAACCCTAAAGTCCCACTGAAGGGAGCAATGTCACTGAGTGGATAAATGAGGGTCTCAGGATTAGAAAGACTCCTGAGCCTCTGCCCCCTAGACCTGCCTTCCTTGATTCTCATGGTCCCCATCGAGCAGAGTCAGCCCCCACTGGGACTCCCAGCAGGCTGGGAGGAGCTGTGGGATTGGCCAGGTCAGCTTGCCTTCCTTCCCTGCTGTGCTCCCAGAACCACCCCTGGGCTGCCCAGGAGGGGATAGTGGTGAAAAGCAGGTCTCTGAGGACCCAGACTGACACTCTAGACAGCAGGGTCCATTTCAGAGGACCCTGAGCCCACTCTAAGACAGACGGACAACTGCACAGCTAAGTGATGCTCCGTGGCCAGTTAACCACGCTGCTGGGTCTGCTCAGTGGGGCGTGGCTACCCACAGCCTCAGGGAGGCCTGGGCCCCCATCTACCCCTGCTCAGGCCTGGGCCCCTGCCAATCAGAGCTGGACTCTGGATCCTCTGGTACCAGCCTTTGCCCTGGGTAGCTGGAAGGCCTTCCTGGGCCTGCAAGACAAACAGCAGGGTGCGGTTGGACCACAGGGAGGGCAGAGAGTGGCTGCTGGTGTGTCTTTGCCCTTGCTCCCCCAAGAAGTACTCCAGGAGACTTGTAAGATTGTGGCCTTTGTTCAGGTGAGTCGGTAGTGGTGGTGTCCATAGTGTCAGTGATGTCTTTGGTGGGGATGGGCACACACTGCTTTGTACAGAGCACAGGTTATGTGGCCTAGGGCAGATTTGCAATCAAATCTCAAGTCCTGAATCTTCTATTTAAATGCCTATGAGCTTGAGGTTCCTTGTCATCTCTCTATTTTCTTTCCCCCTCTCCATTTTTTTTTTTTTTTTTTTTGGTCTCTATGTAGGTAAATGACCTTAAGGTCCCACTTCTGACTTCACCTCCTGTGTGTTGACATACAGGCATGTACAACCACATCTGGTTTAAGGAACCCAGGACTTCATGCATGTGAGGAAGGTAGTATCAGCTGAGCCACATCTCCAGCTGCTGAACCTATTTGCCCAATTAGCATCCAGGAAGAGATGTTGACAAATACATATCCCCTGCTCCCCTCCAAACCATTATGGCTCTCACCTTTTTCTGAACGGAAGTTCAGGTTCTCAGAGCCCACAAGGTTCTACATTCTTTGACCTCCCTGATTTGATTTTGGGTAATGTCACTCTCCTCACTTCATTCCAGACACATGACACACTGTGTGTGTGTGTGTGTGTGTGTGTGTGTGTGTGTGTGTGTGTGTGTGTGTGTGTGTATGTGTTTAAACGGGGTTTTGCTATGCATGGAAGACTGCCCTCTAGCTCAGCAATCCTTCTGAGTCACCACACCCATCTTGGAGCAGAGGTTTTGTTGTTTTAGCCCTGGTCTTAGGGAGCTTGGGGCTGGCTTTGAACTTCCTGCCTCTGCCCCCTGAATGTTGGGATTACAGTTGTGCACCACAGCCCAGATTGTGTGGTGTTGGAGGTGGAACCCAGGACCCCAAGGATGCTAGGCAAGTACTCTACCTATTGAGACACACCCCCATTCAGGTTATCTGAGTTTGTTCTTTCCAATATTCCTGTCCCCAAGCCCTACAACAGGGCCAGGCACACAGTGGACGTTGTTGAATGAATGAATGGAGTGAATGAAGCATATGCCTCTCTGGGCTGTGGGGCCACTGAACAAGAAACTATCTCATATCTGCATTCAGTTGGTATTCCAGAAGGCTTTGGGAATTTTTATTCTGTGCTGAGTTCAAATTCTGATTCATTGTTGGTGTCTGTAGCTTGCCTTCTCTAATCTTTCCTAACTCCCATGTATCAGAGGAAACAATCCTGGGTTCCTGCAGAGTGCTTCTAGCCATGATCATAAGGGAACCACTTCCCAAACCTCCTGGATTGGTATTTGCCTATCAAGTCTTAGAATTCAGGAGACCCAGATTGATCTGTCTCCTTTCAAGATAGGTCTCACCAAATAGTCCAAGCTGGCCTGGAACTTGTGGTCCCATGCTTCTGTGTACTGGGGTTACACATGCCACATGCCCACTCCACAGTCTGCATCTGCTGCCGACCAGCCGATGGCTGCACCTAACAAAACTCAGCTTTGAGTCCAGGGCTGCACCTGCCCCACAGGGCACGAGATTGGGTTGGCAGCCTTCCCTGCAGCTGTGTGGTCTCAGGCAGCCCAAGCCTCAGTTTCCTCATTTGGAAATAGGGATGTAGTAACATTGGCCCCAGCATCACAGGGAAGACAGAACATCAAGTCTGGGTTTAGCAGGGGACAGCATAGCGGTTAGGGATTGTCTCTTTTTTTCTCTAGTGCTAGGAGTGAAACCGAGGGCCTTGGATATGTATAATGGAACACTCAGGAGGCGGAGGCAAAAGGATAAGGAGTTCAAGGTCAACCTTTGCTAAATAGTGAGTTTGAGGTCAGCCTGGGCTTACGTGAGACCTGTCTCAATAACAATCAATTTTTTAAAAGGCTTTAAGTAGCTGCTTCTTTTTTGTTTTAAAATTTTCTTTACAATGCTGAACATGCTTGGGAAGCAGAAGCAGGTGGTTCTCTGGGAATTCCAGGCCAGCCTGGTCTACACAGCAAGTTCTAGATAGCTGGGGTTATACATAATAAGACCCTGTCTCAAAAAATGTAATTACACTTCCTTGTGGGTACATGTGAGGACAACTTATGGGAACTGGTTCCCTTCATTGTGTTGGTCACAGGAATTGAATTCAGGTTATCAGATTTAGCAGAAGAGCCTTTGCTCACTGAGCTATCTTGCTGACCCCTATGTAGTGTGGTGTGTGTGTGTTTAGACAGTATTTCAGAGGGCGGGCAGAGGAACGGTTCACAGGTAAAAGCACTTGTCAGCAACCCTGACTATCTAAGTTTGAGTCCTAGGATCCACAGAGTGGAAGGAAAGAGGTGCTCTCCACTTCCACATGGGCACCATGGCACATGAACCTCACCCCTCCAACCCAGACAACATACACTTAATTTTAAACAATAAAAACAGAGGTTCACACTACAGCCCAGGCCAACATGGACCTGTGTAGTCAAGGTTGGTCTTGAACTCATGGTGATCCTCCCTCAGTTTTCCAAGTGCTGGGGTTACAGGTGTGAGTCACCATACCCAGCTTGACTTAAAAATATTTTAATGTGTATGCTTTGCCTACAGTTAATATTTATAACAGGTATGTCCCTAATGCTTGTAAAAGCCTGACAACGGTGTCAGACCCCCCTAGAAATGGAGTTATGGGTGATTGTGAGCTACAGCCACAGTGTGGGAACAGAGCAGCCAGTGCACTAAACTGACGAGTCCTCTCTAGCTGTCCCCTTTGACTTTTCACTTTTCTGTGGTGCTAGAAATGGAACCTGAGCCTTGTGCATGTTAGGCAAGTGCTCTACTCCTGAACTACACCCCCTCAATCTTGAGACCCCCAAATGGCTGTGATGTATATGGTTGCATCACCAGGCCCAGCTTTCCAGTTTTAATTTGGAGGAGTTTTTTAGGGAGTGTGTGTGAAGATGCACATTGTATAAAGGACAGAGGTTCAGTGTCCTCAACTGCTCTGTTCCTTTAATTTTTTTAAAAAAAATTTTGGGTATTTTGCTTGCACGTATATCTGTGTGCTACATGCATGATTGGGGCCCAGAAGAGATAGTTGGATCCCTGGAGAAGTGGTGAGTTACCATGTGGGTGCTGGGAATTGAACCCAGGTCTATCTAGAAGAGTAGAAGGGTCTATCCCCAGCCGCCTCTCCAGCTCCCCTCTCCAGCTCCCTCATGCCTTGTCTGATCCAGCAGTTCATCAGTTCAGCTAGGCTGGGCTGGCTAGTAAGCTCCAGGTCTGTCTTCACTTCCCTGTGCTGACGTTAGACATGAGTCCCGCTTTACATGAGTACTGGGGATATGAACCCGGGGCTTCATGCTTGCACCCCATCATTTTACTAACTCTCCACAGCCCTGGATTTGGAAGATTTTATCTAAGAAAGATGATTAGAAAGGTTGAATAACTTGCTGCAGGCCACACAACCAGAAGGAGGAATCAGAATTGAAACCCAGGCCACCTGCTTCTTTCCATCAGGGGTAGAAGTGGGTGGTAACTACTCTCATCCTCTGGCCCTAGACTACCCAGTGCTGACTGTCCCGTCTCTGCTTCTGCTTGCAGGTGCTTTCCAGGCCAGGCTGCACAACCGCCAGGGTCCTTAATCATCTCTGTTTCGGTCACTGTTCCTCCTTCTACATCCCCAGTTCGGATCCCACCCCAGAAGTCCTCTGCAACAGCTGTATGCCCGCTCAAAAGCGCCGGACTTCGGTGGTGCTGTGGTGTGGAACTGGCCACACAGCCTCCCCTCGGCGAGTGAGGATGTCCGTCACCCTGGTGCAGAAGTGTCAGTGCCGTCCGAAGCTGTGAGCTGATCAGGAGGACTGCACAGCACAGCACATGGGAAGAAGCAGGAGATGCGGCAGAAAGACGTGACTTGAATGATGTGCATCAGGTCAAGAGAGCAGGGTTAGAAGGACAGATGGACAGGTCCACAAGATCCTCATCTTGATCCTGGAACACGAGTCGTGGTCTGCCAGTCATGGGTTTAGACCACTAATAGTCATAGCATGTGGGCTGGGTTGTTAAGTCAGCGGGAAAGGACTTACCTACCATGCGTGAAGCCCTGCGTTCCATTCTTAACGCGGGGATGTGTGGCGGGAAAAGGTGACGACTGGCTGTAGTGTGTGATTCACAGGGCCCTGCAAGGGAAGGGATACTCCTTCCACAGGCGCTAACTCACAGCATCCTCAAAGATCAGCCCTCAGTGGTTCCACAGGGTAGGATTTCACCACAGGTCGTTTTGCAGATGAGGAAACTGAAGCCATTGAGGCATTATCACCTGGGGTGGGGAGTGGGGAGTGGGGGATGGAGGGGCGTCGAGACACAGACCTTGCGCACGCGCAGCACAGCTCCCCATTGAGCCCCCTCCCCCAGCCTGGGTTTCCGCTGTTGACCACGAGGTGGCACTGCATCTCTCTGTCCGAGCCAGACACTTCTGCTAGGAAGGATGACAGCAGCACCCAAACCCAGACACTCAGCAAAGATGACCCCGTTCTAGGGACACCAGAAAAACAGCAGCAGCAGCAGCAACAACAACAAAAAACCATGGCAGGCAAGCGGGAAGCAGCTGCTGGGAAACTTGGCCCCAACCAAAGGCGACCCCGAGTGTGCGCAGCTGCTTCTCTCATTGACAGTGGCTGGGGTTTCCCTTATTGCCCCATCCGAGTCCCCGCAGCAGCCCCACGCCCAGCCTGGCATTCCACGGGAATCATAAAGGTTGGCCAAGTCCAGCTGTGCGTGCGACTCTCTTACTAGGGTTTCCTGGGTAGGGGGCTCCCTTCTCAGCTAGGGGGCAGGGTGTGCAGCAGCCAGGCGGCCTAGCTTTGGGCGGCTGGAACCAGGGCTCTGGCAGATGGGCCCGTTTGGCAGAGACTCAGAGACATGTGGAAGCATCGCCTCCAAATGCCCCCAACCCCCAGTGCAGTGTGGAGGGAGCTGGTCAAGCGCCCCCCCCTTCCTGCCTCAGGAAGGAAGGCACCAGGTGAGAGGAACAGGAGGGCCCCCTACAAGGAAACAGATGGGACAGCACTGCATGGGAGCTGCGACCCCTGACCTCACAGGCCTGAACAGAGGGGTGGGAACCTGACTGGCTGCCAGCTCCCAAGAGCATCCCAGAGGGAGGGTCATGGAGAGCTGGGGGGTGGGGTGCCCTCCTGCCTGTCCCTAGAGCTTGGTGGCAAGCCTCATGCAGTGACTGAGCTGGCAGCTCAGCCCTGGCACCCCTTTTCTGGCGGGCACAAGATGCCTGCATCCCTCCACCTCAGCTGTGCCCACCTCCTGCCAGCTTGGAGAGCCAGCTGGGAACCTTGATGCCAGGGGGGCCCAGAGTCACTGCGCCCTCCCAGGCAGTGCCAGTCGGCCTCCGCTGCTGCCCCCCAGGCCCAATAATGGGTGGGTAATGAGTGCTGGGGGAGCGGGGGGGGAGGGGCAGGGAGGCAGGTGCCACAGGCTCTGGCACCGGGGGCTGCTAATCAGGTTTGCCAACGCCATCTGTCATCGTGCGAGCATCTGGGGCTCAAGGTGACCCTGTCACCCTCAGTTACAATTATGAGTTTGGCATCTGTATTAAAGCCCGCCAGCCAGCCAGGCAGGGGAGGGCTGGGGTGGGTAAGGGGGTGCATGGTGAGCCCCATCCCTGGGGTCTGGTTCCCAGGGGTTGTGTAGCTGCCAAGGCATGAAGCTTCTCTGCACTGTGTGTGTTCTCACACAATGAGTATACACGCACCCGTCCTAGCCTCCTTAGCTAGTCTCCCCTACTGTGTCTGGGCACAAGACTGGATAGTCTTGGGGTTTGCTTTTGAGTGGTGACTGTGTGTCTCAGAGTATGGTAGGCTGGGAGGAGAGGAATGGATATGACACAATGGGTGTCCAGGTAAGCATGAATGTGGGTATGCTAAAGAGGACCGGTGGGGGGTACTTAATTTGCCTTTGGATGGTGGTGTGTGTTAGGGTGTGATGGAGTGTGTGTGATTGTGGGTGTGCGTCAGACAACATGGAGTACTGTAGCTCTTACAGTCATAGACTGTGTGTGGTGGGATGGGAATCTCTCCTCTCTCTCTCTCTCTCTCTCTCTCTCTCTCTCTCTCTCGCGTGTGTGTGTGTGTGTGTGTGTGTGTGTGTGTGTGTGTGTGTGTGTGTGTAGCAGCAGCAGCTGGCAGGGGCTGTGGACATTCACCCCAGATTCTCTGCTGCCCCCTCAGTCTCTTCCTGCTCTCCACAGCCCAGCTCTGATCCACAGAGTTCTGACAAAGACCCAGGACATTGCAGGCCTGTTTTTGGTTTCTCTGTTCTTGGAACTGTACTCTCAGTTCAAGATTTCAGTTCTGAACAATGGAATCTAGATTTTTTTCCCCTGAGACAGGATTTCTCTGTGTAACTGCCCTGGCTGTCCTGGAACTCAGTAGACCAGGCTGGCCTCAAACTCACAGAGATCTGCCTGCCTCTGCCCCCTGATCTGGCAGATCTAGACTCTTGGACTCTAGATTCCAGAACGAGAGTCTAGATTTTAGATTCTGGGTCCTGCATTCTTGGATCTGGTTTTCTACATCTCAGCATCATTGGGGCCTAGAGTCTTTTCTTCTTCCTGATTCTGGAGATGGAACCTGCACATACTAAATAAAAGCTCTACTGTTCTGCGTTGCCCCCAGTCTCTCATTGGAGGATTCGAAGCAAGTGCTTTAATGCTGAACCAACCCCTGTTCCCCAGAACCTATGAATTCTAGGACGTGGGTTACATAGGCTGAGTCTGGTTCTGGGCTCTTGTCTCTGTGTGCTCATCCTGGACCTGTCTCTCAGCCTAGGATTCCATAATTAAGCCTTCAATCACAATCCCTAAATAGCGGTGTAGAGACAACATTTAACCACCAGAGGCCGCCATTGGTCTAGATTTGGGCTAGACGGACCTAGCTGTGGGGCCACAAGGACTGGCAAGACCCAACTTTTTGAGAAAGACTGGGAGTAACTTCCTTATGAGGACTCATGCCTTTCATCTCCCACTTCCCAAATCTGGATAGTGAGGCCAGTGTCCCAACAGTCCTACAAAAGTGTCTCTTGGATAGGTTGTAGTTTGTTGAAGATCTGGGAAGGAGATGGTGGCCCTTGTGACAGAGGTCCCTGTAACCTGTAAAGGTAATTTTTTTTTTTCTTCTTGAGACAGAGTCTCCTTTATGTATGTCTGTCTTCGAACTCACCATATAGACCAGGCTGGCCACAAAATCACAGAGATCTACCTGCTTCTGCCTCCAGAATCCTGGGATTAGTGTGTGTCACCATGCCTTGGTCACAAGGTGTGTGTTTTTATCTGATCACTGGATGATTGCAATGAAGTCCAACATGTTCTCTGACTGTGTCTCTGATATAATACTCTGACATGCAGTAGGAGTCCCTATCATATTTCATATGTGTCTGTGATTATGCCAAGTGTTTGCCATGGGTGTGCCCATAAGTACTGTAAGGACTATAGTGTGTCCCTGAGAGAAAGATTTCTAGAGTGTCAGAGCAGTATTGGAAGGCTGTGTCTCTGTGTGACTGATGCCTTATTAGCAGGACAAGGTAAACATTCTGGGAGTGTCAAATTGAGCTAGTGGAGAGGGGATACAGCAGTGAGCACTAGAAACTTGAAGCAGGGGTCAGAGGTGAATCTCTAGGCCTCTCTTGGGACACTTCCTGTGTCTGGATACATCTGGCCCTTCATCTGTGAACCCATGAGCAGACCCACCAGTCTCTCTGAACCCAGATTTTTCTAAATTGTGTTCTCATCCTTGCCAGGCACATCAAGGGGTTCAGTGAAGCCCCGAGTCTCAGTGTTCTCTTGTTCAAACTCGTTCGCTTTCCTCTTTCTCACTGGCTCTGCTTTTGCTTGGTCTATCCCTCTATCATTCCTCCTGTGTCTCTCTATCTCCAGAATGTCACTTATCTCTCCATCGCTTCCTCTTGTATTCTAAATATTCCTGCATCCATGTCTCTCTCCTACCTGCCCCTTCCTCTAGCATACACATGAGCTCGTGTGCGTGCGTGCGTGCGTGCGTGCGTGCGTGCGTGTGTGTGTGTGTGTGTGTGTGTATGTGTATGTTTATGTAGGCCAGAGGTTAACTTCAGTTGTCTTCCTCAAGATTCCCGACTTTCTCTTCTCAGACTGGATGTAGCGTTGTCTGGCCTGAAACTCACTGTGTTGACCAGGCTGGCCTGGAATTCGCAGAGCTCTGCCTTCCTGTGCTGGGAGTAAAGGTGCAAGCCACCACACCCAGCTTCCCATCTTATTTTTTCGACCCAGGGTCTTTTGCTGACTCAGGAAGGGCTACATGGCCGGAGTCCCCTTGAATCCACCTGCCTCTGCCTCTCCAGGCTTAACAGGACTGTGCCCACGTGCCTGCCTGCTTTTTCACATGGGTGCTAGGGAGCAAACTCGGGCCCTCGTGATTGCTCTTTACCATCCAAGCCACTCCCTGCCTCACCACCCATCCTCGCCCAGCGGTGTAACTATCATTGGCCTAGAACTCATGAGCCTCGGCTGCCCCTCTAGGATTACGCAGCTGTGTTGGTCTGTCCCCGTTCTCTTCCTTAGAAGACCTATTTCTCCCACTCTGCCTTCTCTTTCTGCGTCTCCCAGCCCTAAGTCTTGTTATGTCTCTGTCCACCTCTTCCTTCCTATCTTCATCTCCGCATTTCTCCCTCTGTCACTGTCTCCATATTCATTTCACTTCATCTCTGGTGTCTTTCCTTCTCTCCATCTCTGCCAGCCCGGGTGGGTCCGGGTGGGTCCGGGTGGGTCCGGGATAGCCCAACCGGGGCGCCTCGGTGAACAATGCGGCATTCAGGAGGCCGGCCGGCGCCATGGCAACGCGCCCGCCCCGCCCTCCCCGCGCGCGGGCCGCGCGTGCCAAGAGGGTGCCATGGTTACATCAGGCGCGTGCCCACCCCGCGCGCCGCCGCGGCCTCGCACGCTCTTTCAGGGCTGGGCCAGAAGGGGGCGCCCGGCCGTAGCCTCTGCCTGGAGTCAGGAGGGGCTTCCATCTTCAAGTCCCTTCAGCCCTCTGTGCCTTGGGTTTTCCCACCTATGAAGTTCGGGGTGGGGAAGGGGGAAGAGATGTGGGAGGATGAAGGAGAGTGGGGAAGAGGGAGGGGAAGAGTGTAGGGTTCGGGGGGATAGTTCTGTACTTGTGCTTTTGTATTTGATGGTTGGTGGAACTGTATGTACACTTGTGCAAATTTGTGCCCCAATGCTTGGACACCTGTGTGTTTTTCAAGAAGCTGCTGGGGAGGACACTTGGTAGAAGGAGAATCTACTTCCACAAGTTGTCCTCTGATCCCCACAGGCTTGTGACCACAAGCAAATGCCTACACATATATATACACAGAAATAATAAAGGCAATAAAACGTAAAAGGAAGTTGAGTGAAGTGGTTAAGGTTTGGCTTGTTTAGTCTGCCTGAGGCCTTAGGTTCTGTCTCAGCACCACACACGAAAAGCTGTTGGTTGTTACCTGAAAAGGTTACACTGTTCATAAGTTTGGAAATGTGTCTGTTCTGGGGGTTGCATTTCTGCCTGTGATGGTGCGCGTTGGAGACGTTGTATTGGTGTGTCTCTGTGTTTGTGGTCTTGTGACTGGGTGCCCATGTGGCATGGTTGTGTGTGTGGTAGGTGTCTGTAGTTGGGGTACTGTGGTGAGTTCACGTTGCCTATCGTTATTCTTGGTGTGTACTGATGGATAGCTGTGTGTTAAATCAGGTGTG